GTAACAGTTTGGAACAGTTATTTTCGGAACCTTTTCAGATCTCTGTTAAAACGGCAAGCTGAACAAATGTCTGTAAACGTCGCAGGCCTGCAGAAATTTGTCTTTCAGCCATGAACGTCGAGGGATTAGGAGGATTAAAGTGATTACCCCGGTAAAACCCTTCCTGGATGGAACATATATGCCGGCAAGAAGTGGAACACTGCCCTTCGATGTCCTTTGGAGCGATAGAAGTAGCAGCTTCTGTACTTTAAGTGGCAATTTATACCATCGAGTTTTGCACCTGAATCGTTAACGAATATTTATTAAGATTTACAGAGTATCGGGCTGTCTACATATATTGGGTTGGCAACTAAGTAATTGCCGATTTGTTCAATGAAATAAAAAATTTTTTTTTACTTGGAATGAAGTTCAATCTGTAATGTATTTTCCATTTTGTTCGATGAACTTTTGCCATCTCTCCGACAACTTGAAAATTCCACGTTCGTAGAAAGTCTGATCCTTCTCGGCCAAAAACTGAGTCAAGTGAGATTTTACAGCATCATCGTCATTAAAAGTTTTACCACGAAGGGAGTTGTTCAGGGATCGAAATAAGTGGTAATCCGATGCGCGAGATCAGGGCTATATGATGGGTGTAACATCAATTCGCAACCAATATCCATCAATTTTTGCCGAGTGGACAAAGACGTGCGCGGCCTAGCATTGTCCTGCTGGAAAATGACACCTTCACGATTGACCAATTCTGGTCGCTTTTCCTTGACCGCTGCGTTCAATTTGTCCAGTTGCTAACATTCACGGATAATAAAAAATAACATAATAATAATAATAATAATTTTATAATATAACATTTACGGATATCATAAAAATGGGAGTGAGAGACGTCTATATAACTGAAATCAGCAATTACTTAGTTGCCAACCCAATAGAAGAAGGTCTTAGGCAGCGTACTCACAATTCGTGAAACACATTCAGAGAATTGTCGGTGTACGTTTGACTCATACAGTTCTCTCGATAGGACGTGACAAGCTGAATCAGATACGACAGTCCATTTATAATTGTCAAGTCGAAGTCAGCTGGTGACTGGACACGTTCGACAAACTGTCGTATAAAAAACGTTTATTTACTATCCGTTGTATAACCTTTTGCGAGCTTTATGATCTCCGCCCGCGGTTTCGAACAGCTTCGAGAACAAAATATAACTGTTCTACTAAATTGTAGAACATAGTAATGCGAACGAAATAATAATATTATCAAATTTGAGAGTTATACAATTTATGATAGTCAACGTGAGATACTTTTTGACAAGGAGATCTACGAGAAAATCAATTTGTTATGTTCAAATCGATAATGCATTCCTTCGCTTAGTATTGTAAGTCGTGAAGTCAAGCATTTCGGTTCTCATTTAAAAAAAAACACCAATGACGTTCGAAAGCCCACGAAACAAAATATCGGAAGATCTATTTGTATCAGTATGTTCGCCTTCTTCTATAATAGTTGTACTTTAACGTTTTCTTCTGTTTTTTACTTTGACAGAGAAATTTAGGTATGCAAATATATATTATTGTATAATAACAGTAATAATAGATATATTATTATAATATTATAAAAATTATATATATTATTGTATAATAATAATAATAGATATATTATTATATAATATTATAAATTAGATATATTATTGTATAATAATAATAATACATATATTATTATATAATATTATAAAAAAAATTAGATATATTATTGTATAATAATAATAATAGATATTATTGCATCTACCTATTGAGATAAAAATTTTGAATTGGAAGAACAACTAAATTCCGGCCACGAAGCACAAAAACATAATTTACAATCTTGTAGGAATCGGTTAAGGAAACGTGCAGCAGTTTAAAGAAGGCAGTGTACTCACTTGGGACATGTGAGTGCATAAAGATATCGTCATCAATACAATGAGAACAGAATACGGTATCATTACAGTCCTCATGATGCTGTCAAAGTCGCTTTAACAGTAAAAATCACGTTATTCTTGCAATGCATCGTGCCGTTAGCACGTTCAACAATTGTAGTACCTCTGAGTTCTTTGATAGAGGTCCATCATCTCACCGATTGTCCGATGCAAGCGATGGTCTTTCTGAAAAGCTATGGTCTTTGGGTCGAGCCACTGGTTGATCGCTTTCTCGATTCGATAACTGCGGAGACAGACATACGTGCAAGACACAGTCACAGTTATGCTTATCTCAATGCAATTATGCTTATTTCATAATCCGAATTACTATTCTCAAAATAAGTTTTCCACACGCGCGCTTCTTACGTCACTGCGACGAGTCTCTGTTATTCTATCGAACGCAGCTCGAATTCTTTTTTTAGTTCGATTATTAAGAGTGATTATTATATTATTATTATTTCTTTTGCTTCGAACGTTTTATCGATTGAATCGCGACCGCTGTTTTCAGTCAAATTAAAAATATTTTTACATTAAAATCGAGAAGAATGAATTTCTGCGGCCGATACCTTTGTGTTTGCGCACCTTATTGTTTCATAGACAGCCGAATGGTGATTTAACAGTATACTGATCGTACAATCGTTTGCTGTCGTGAGTATTACGCCGCCTACGCAGCAAACGATCAAGTACCCGTACACCAGATAAAAATGATTGTCCCTTTCGCTATCGAACTCTATCACTAGGATGAAGTGCAGCGAACGAGAATTGTTCAGGGGTACTATAAAGTCCAACAGCGTCGGCGATGCTAACACTAGTAAGCATAAAATTGTTGTCGTAACTCCGATATCTGAAATAATTACATTTAATGACATATTTCTGTTCTGTTTCAGAAATTTCTCATACGGTGATATTGAACTTCATGCATCGAGCATTCACGTATTTTGTGCGGAAGATAATGCGAGGATTTAATTTGTGAATATACATACCATAATTATGTTAAGGGAAAGGGCTGATTCCTGTGGTAATTCGAAGTAACTTTTTCCTTAGCGAAAATTCGATCCGCGGCTTCGTTTACGAGTTATTAACGAAAAACAGTGACCAATGGCGAGGACGGCTGACGCTCCGCCCTCGTGACTACTGCCGCTGCGTCAGACGGTTAGCGCGACGTGGCATTGGCCGCAAGGGAGGAGCGCTGGACGCGCACGCCTCTCATTGGCCACTGTTTTTCGTTAATAACTCGTTAACGATGCCTCGGAGAAAATTTTTGTAAAGGAAAAAGTTACTTCAAATGACCTCAGGAATCGCCCTTTTCCAAGTATTAACGTAATTATGGGGCATCATGTATATGTAAACACACCAATCAATGAATCTGAACCTTTTTTGCGCGTCCTAAAATCGAATGAGCTAGTATTATAAATTCTCTGACGCTAACAACGAAAACGCATTCAGACGCTGAATGCACAAACTGGTTTACCAACGATACAACTGCGTCGCAAAGAACGTTTTCTAATTCAGTGATTTTTTATCTTCCAGTTTTATGGTTTTCAGAGCGAGTAACTAAACTGTCATTGAATCGACGTTGATGATGAGCTTGGAAAAGCTTACACAGAGGTCAACTTAAAATTTCTGAGTGGCCTATTTCACGACCTATTGTTATAGTTTACCGAAACCTCGGTGAAAAAGAGGAACACGATCTTAAATAAATATATTAAAGAAAGCGTAAATATTAGAAAATAACGTGACTTGGTGGCGGGACCAATGTACATTGCAAAAACAAAGGAACGTGACAAGCGAAGAACATACTGCGTATAAAATATTATAGAAAACATCGAGCGTTCTATCTTACATAGGTAAATTACGACTACACGATCTTGTTTATTTCCGAATTTTTCGAATATCTGCAGTTCCCTTTGGTCTGTCGAACTATGCCACCGAGCTAGGCTCTCCAGCGAATTTTTCAACTAAAATACATTTATTTTAAATACTATTATTTTAAATATTATTAATAATATATATATATATATTTATATTATTATTATATATATATTAATATTAATATAATAATATATAGTTAATAATATTTATATATATTAATATAATAATATAGTATAATTAATATTAATATATATATATATATATAATGTAATATAATATTAATATTAATATAATAATATAATATAATTAATATTAATATTATATTACATTTACATATATATAAATGCTGCTCTATTTATGCTGCTTCAATCAGTGTCGACACAGAAGAAATTTGATATAATTATATAACTCACTACGTGTTGAAGCAATCCCGAGGCGATATACTTCACATACACTATCATCGTGGTGCAGCTGAACGATATGAAGTAAATCATATGAATTATCGTAACACCGCCAATTTGCAGTAATGCAATCTGAAATGAAGTTCGACAAGTCTTTCCTTACCACATTTTCCGCAACAATATTTCAAGACTCTATATAGAGCTACATATACATATATATGTATAAGTCTATATACGATAAATAAGAAATCTCTCTCTTTCTGTCACCAAAGTGTTACTGTTAACACCATACAGACACGTTGCAATAAACGAGTTATTGAAAATCGTGCCAACTGAGAGAATTGTCCTCTTATAATACACATTCACTTGCAAATGTGCACGAACGAGACATTTCGTTCCACATATAAATCAATCGAACAAATAATTTAACAAATTCATTATGGTTTAACATTTAACCATCGGTTTAACAAGACCGCTCTCATTATACAGGGTGTCCCAAAAATGTCTCGCAATCCGAAAACAGGGAGTTCAGTAATGTCTCCCTTACTGACGCTCAGGTTTTGCATAAAAACGGACAATTTGGGAAGAGGAGATACGATTATTCGAGCCTTGCAGTTCGTTTTTATAGTTGTTGACAATTCGTAACTATAAAAACGAACCGCGAGGATCGAATAATTGTATCTTCTCTACCTAAATTGTCTTATTTTTGTAGACAATCTGAGCGTCAATTAGAGAGACATCACTGTTCTCGGGGAAACAGCCTCGTTGAAATGAATTCGAATGCTTGAGAGGTAACAATAGATATAGACTATATTTGAAACATAACAAAGACGGTACAGATTCGCGTTTCATCGCGACGTTATTCGCTTTCTCGCGGTTTCTTGAATTCTGTACGGTTTCGTGTGTGATCTCGTTCCGACGAATTCATAATTGCGACTCACGTTCGTCGTCGGTTCGATTCTGTCGTGACTGTTTATTTCACATAAAGTTAAGCGGTGACTGTCAAATTTTCTAATCGGTTTGTAGGCTCGCTGGCTGTTAATTTCTCGAGATAGTCTCGTAGATATTCGAACAAAGAAATCTCTGCAAATGCGATACGTACGACCAGGCGCGCGCTTTGGCGATAATCCGTTTGTCTCCAGTTCGTTTAGAAAACGCTTGGTACTCACCTGCAAGAAAAAAAGAAACAATTGCATGTTAATAAAATTGTACGAAACACGTGACGATGGAATTTTCGTAAGTAGCGTGGTTTCGACAGCTTGGGGAACGGAAATCGCGTCGCAAATCATCATAACTTTCGTTTAAAATACTTCCGTTTAAAATACTTTCGTTTAAAATGGAAATTGAAAAATCACGTTAGCTTGAATTTTTATCGATAGCAGATGAAACAATGCGGTAACGTTTTGAAAAAAAAATACTTTCTAAACGTAGCACTTAATTTTATTAGAACTCTCGCTGTTAGTATTGTGGTATGAAAAATAACGATGTGCGCTATGATGCATGTCGATTATTATTATGTGCCGTATAATGATGCGACAATACTTTCACTCGCTGTAATAATCGGCTCACAATTTTCTGTTTCTAGGATCGGAAATTACAATTCTTCAGCGGTTACTGGAAACGTATTCTCTTCGTAGTACAGTAATTTCTCTCTAATTATCGCTAATTCTCTCTAATTTCTCTCTAATTCTCTCTAATGGACAATTTGGGAAGATGTGTTTTTCTTATAGTTGTCGACAATCGGTAACTATGTGAAAACGTGTCGAGAAGACTCTAATAATCGCATCTCTTCTTCCCAAAACTGTCCACTTTCGTTCGCGATCGCAGCGCCAATTAAGGAGAAATTACTGTTGCTGCAATCACAACTATAACTTGCATTTCCATTTAATAGAATATTCCCATTCAAAGTCAAAGATTCTACACGATTTTTGCGACAATTGTGCGGTTTATTACCAATTCGAAGCTTTCGAAGCTTCGCACATTAAAGCAACGATATTAAAATCAACGAAATTTCCAGTTTTTCTCATAGTTGTCGACAATCAGTAACTATGTGAAAACGTGTCGAGAAGACTCTGATAATCGCATCTCCTCTTCCCAAAACTGTCCACTTTCGTTCGCGATCGCAGCGCCAATTAAGGAGAAATTACTGTTGCTGCAATCACAACTATAACTTGCATTTCCATTTAATAGAATACTCCCATTCAAAGTCAAAGATTCTACACGATTTTTGCGACAATTGTACGGTTGATTACCAATTCGAAGCTTTCGAAGTTTCGCATATCAAAGCAAGGATATTAAAATCAACGAGATTCCCGTTGAATCGTTATTATCTCGTTGGAAATGAACGGAAGCCCCGTCGAGCGAAAATTCGAAATTCTCACCTGGACAACTTGGAAACCGAATACGAGACACAACCAGGTTGCTCTCATCGCGACGTTCAGTATGCGGCTGCTAAACGGCCACAGTCCGGTCAGTATTAAAAGCTTGCGAGTCAGGCTATAGAACGTTTTGTCGAGGACTATCATGTCTCCGGGACCGACGAATTCCGTCTACGGAACGGCGAACGTAGGAACGCGCGGCGAACGCGCTATCGCGTTCATACTTTATTCATTCGGCTGTGATCCTCAGCTGCGGAGTTCCCCCGCGACGTGACACAACGGTCCTTCTCAAATAATTCCGGCGAAATTAAGTTTGAAAATTGATCGCGTGCCACGATGTGTACGCACGAGTCGCGTACACATTGTCGCGCCGCGTTCCCCGAACCGGACAACTAAATTACACGTTGCAGGCGATACCAGGCATTTTCCCCTCGCTGCGTCGTTCACCGATTTTTCCGGAAAGATTTCGCGAGCAAGCACGAGCACCCTAATCCTCATACGGCTCTAGACTGCCGCGCGTGCCGCTTCGTTGTTCCCTGCGACGCGACGCCGGTCGAGCATCTCTTAAACGTACGAATTGCCAGGCGTATACGCAACGTTAACATTCTGGCTCGCGTCGGGATCGATTTACGTTGGTGTTTCCTGTGAAATCAATTCACCGAAATGACGGGAAATCGTATTCTGGTGAGTGCATATGTTACGCTCGCGTATGTTGTACTAGCTCGTTCGTTCCACGTTCCGAAATTTGCGAACAATGTCGGCGAATTCTTTGTCATCGTTCGCTTCTATTTAAATGAGAATTATAAAAATTATGCTTTTAACGCGATGAAAATTATGCTTTTAAAGCTGTCAAAATTAAGCTTTGAAAGCTGTAAGAGTCAAGCTTGCTTTTATAAAAAAGAGCAAGGCACGAATGATCCTATCTCCTCTTCTCGAATTGTTCATTTTTGTGCACAATCTGAGCGCCAATCGGGGAATATTTACCATATCGGTAGAACGCGATCAGTTCTGGAAATTTAAGAAGTTTAACCCTTTGCACTCTCGTGGCTAAATTAAGGTTAAATTTAAAATAGTTCTTCTGACCCACGGTATTTCCATTTTATGTGATATAGTGCATTTTGAACATGCGAAATTGAATTTTGTGGCTCGTGCAACAGTCGCGCTTTCAACATTTCAAAGGGTTAATTAAATACCGAATAACGAAGTAGCGTCTTTGTTTCGAGTGCCATGAGTGCGCGTCACAGTAATGTCTCCCAAATTGTCGCTCGAATTGTACACGAAGATGGACGATTTGGGAGGAGGAGATACGATTGTTCGAGCCTTGCGGCTCGCTTTTATAGTTGCCGATTTTTTAGCCACTATAAAAACGAGCCTTCGTGCATGTATAGTAATCGAGAATCTTCGATAATCAACGTTGTGCTTTCTTGAATTTGTTCGTCTAAAGATATTTCAATATTTATTATATCTATATAATAAAATAAATAAATAAATATAATATATATATAATATATATTATATTTATTTATTTATTATATATTATATATATTTCAATATATATTTCAATATTCGTCGGTGAAAGAAACTGCGATACTTCGCGTGCATTTTCGATCTGCCGTTTATGCTACTGTCGCTACTTCACTGTACGCGAATAGCGTGCAAATAGAGCAAACAGAAAGCAGATGCAATTATCATTGACGAGATGCTTATTCGTTTCTACGTAATTTCGATAGAAAGTAATTTCCGCGAGCATATTATTATATTTCTCCATAATTTCTCGTGGCAAGTGCACAGAAAACGGATTATTATTTGCCTGTAAAATTATGGAAAAAGATGTTGCAACATTCTCAAATTTTAGGGCTCGTTAAGTCGAATATCGCGAGGCAAAGAAATTACGTAAGGAAGATTATTGCTGCGAGCACTTTTTAAAAAATTGTCAAGAGAATGAAGATTTACCTTTTGCATGAAGACTGTCGACATTTACGAAAATAAAGATCTTTCTATCTTGTTACTCTCGCTTGCGCAAGTATGGCGAACTATACATACTCGGCACGTCAATTTTCTACGCTATGTAGCTACTTAGGTTCTAGTTGCTGTTGGAATCCTCGAGTGATTATACGTTTCCTTTCAGCGAGCAGATCGTAGTGAAATAAGAGAAGGACGAGCTCATCATCTGAAAATTCAACGATTTTTGTAGGCCAGAGTGAACAAATCTGCGCCTGTGCGCACGTGTGTACAAGTAAATTCTGTCTAATTGACGTTCAGCTTGGAAACGAAGGATTGAAACGAAAAATGTATACAAGCTCATGCATGTACCGATGCGAAACCTCTGTTGCTTGGAATGAATAATCCGGAAAAATCTATCATGCTGCCTGTAATGGTTCTCTGCATTATCAACAATACCATTTTCTGCGTCTTCACTGGACAGTGGTACCACAGCGAATTGTATCTGCATTACGACAAAAACATAAACTTTGCGTAAATCGTTGCAATGTTACATTCGTAACTGTTCAACAATACTGGTTGCGATAATTTCAAAATTCGGGGAACTCGTTTTTCTTTTTTTTTTTTTTTTGAAATCGTGCTAAGCGTTCTAAGTTCTAAGTGCGCCGTGCATGGTTTAAAAACATTCGGAATGTTCGGATCGAATTGAAAATTTTACGTCGTTGACGTAATCAGTGATTCGCATAGGTCGTTCGCATCATTTATTTCGTCGAGTGAATATTAATTATTTGTTCGAGCTACAAATAAATTACAAGTACTGGACATATATATAAAAAGCTGCATTCAGAATGTTTCGATAATCGTAAAATAGAGGATCAACGTAAGTCGTGGAAGGGGAAGGCAGAAGTGGGGGAAAAGTCTCGATCGAACAGTGAATATTTTGTGCAAAATATCAAATCCCATGTTTCTAAGAGTACAATAGATTTTCAAATGCGTGCCATAAGTGTATTAAATCCGCGGCCAATTACAATAATTTCCACCTAATTCGCGCTCAGATTGCTCACAAAAGTGGACAATTTGGGAAGAGGAGATACGATTATTTGGTGGAGATATTTGGTATATATATATTTATGTATAAAATAGGAGGAGATGTGATATATATTTATATATAAAATAGGAGAAGATGTGATATATATATATATGTATATTTATTTTATTTATATATATATTATATATAATTATATATTATTATATATTATTTTTATAATATATATTAATATAACATATATTATAATAATATATATTTATATAATATAATTTTATTATTATTATTAATTTATATAATATATATCACATCTTCTTCTATATATATATATAATAATAAATATAAAAAAAATATATATATATATATAAAATAGGAGGAGATACGATATATATTTATGCATAAAATAACCTTGCAGCTCGCTGTTATAGTAACCGATCGTCAGTAACTATAAAATCGTATCTCGTCTTCCCAGATTGTCCATTTTTGTGAGCAAATCGGAGCGCGAATTAGGGAGAAATCACCGTACAACTCTCACGATATTTTCTGGCGACATGAAATGTTGGAAACACAACGTGGACTTACATGTCATGAAAGATAGCCACGCTATTGTCAATAACTTGCTGTCCGATATAGTTACCCATGAACACTGCCATAACGTGAATGATACCAAAGACAATTGATATGACCAAATCCTTCTTGTCGTCCATTTCTATCATCGCTAGAATAGACTGTTAGACAAGAGAAATGTTATTGTTTTGCTACTTCCGATGAGACTTTCGAGCGTTAGCGCTCGGACGACGGGGCCCGGGTCCACTTAGACCCCAGACTGTAAACATTGATCGTCTACTTACTGAGAAATAATTAAAATTTGCACATTTTTCTCTAAGATCTATGGAATACACTAACGTGTCCAGGAGAAGCACGTCGAAAGACATATCGAAGAAAAATTGATAAATAAAATTATAAATTATTCCGAGTTAGATCTTTGTCCAAAAAGTCTGTCGTCCGAGTGTTGTCGTATAATTGGGGTCACCACGACCCGTGATACTTACACGATAAAGATTCAAGGACATCGAAACTACCACCACGACGATTGCTATCAGGTAAGGCAGCCCTGAGTCAGAACTAAATATCCTCATGAAACTGTGACGGTGATTCCATTAAGAGGAGAAGACGCAGCGTAGAACAGAGTACGTTTAGCAATTGAAATGAAATTTTACAAGAAATTTAAACCAAGTTACCAACTCGATCGCTTTCATGTGAATTTCCATTGCCTCGCGCATGCTTGTGTCTGTCAAGTACTTTTGCTTCGAATCGTCGGCATTGTGAATCGTTTCGGAAATCATAGTCGTAAATCGATAGCTGCGACATTAAAAATTCTGTTACCGTAATTTCATCGAGTACTGCGACAGACACTGAAAGCAGACATCGTTACAAGTGCGTATCTTACGACTCGCCCAGGCCTGTCTTACGACGTACAGGAAGTCCGAAAAATGTCTCGTAATCCGTAAATGGAAGGTTCGGATCATTTGAAGTAACTTTTTCCTTAGCGAAAATGCGATCCGCGGCTTCGTTTACGAGTTATTAGCGAAAAACGGTGACCAATGAGAGGCGAGCTCGGACAGCGCTCCTCCCTTGTGGCCAATGCCACGTCGCGCTAGCCGTCTGACGCAGCGGCAGTAGTCGCGAGGGCGGGGCGTCAGCCGTGCTCGCCTCTCATTGGTCACCGTTTCTCTTCAATAACTCGTCAACGATGCGTCGCAGAAAATTTTTGTAAAGGAAAAAGTTACTTGAAACGACCCCAGGAACCCTTCACTCCCGAATTATGAGACATTTTTGGGGTACCCTGTATACCGGCAGTAGAAAATTTCGATTTTCTACATAGTTTGCATATATGAGCAAGCAACAAATGATAACACGATCGAAATCGTTCCATCTCGAATGCTTGGAAGTCACTAAAAAATATATTTAACGAAAGAAGCAACTGCCAGATGAACGATTGAAGAAATATACGTGAAAGTAATTCGAATGAGCAAGCTGGAAACTGGGAAGATACTGAAAAGATGTTTTGCTGAAAAACGCAGTGGATTTAATCAGAGGAGAACGAAGAAATTGCGTGCATCGTGAACCGCACGATAACCTCGACACTGTTCAACGAATCTTCACATTTCTCGGACCGAGTTTTTCTTTTCTCAGAGTTTTACGAATCCAATTTTTCCTATATTTTTTTTTCAATATTTCCTCGCTTGGAACCGCAACTAACCGTTCGAAACTGACAGTACGATTATAAAGCAACGCTATTCTACGGTTCCATCGATCGGCGATATTTGTTCGTCGCGCACGGCCTCTCCTACTCGCCGATTTCTATCGATCGTGATGCACGGCGAGGAGTATGCAACGGCACCTACGATGCGAAGCCGCGAAGTCGAAAATCTGTGCAACATGACAAAACGGTCGCTCATTGGATCGTACTTGGCAATCTCGAACAATCCGCAACAGTATTGGCAGACAATGAAAAGCGTCGACTCGGAGCAAATGATCGTCGTCACTCCGGACATAGCGCCCACTACCAGGCAAGCCGACACCCAATAGACGGACGCTCTGTTGTCAGAGTCAACCAAAAATCCGAACGAGTGCAACGAATGCGCTCGGGTCTCGTTCCTCGGCAGGAGCGCGTCGAGTATTAGGGGGCCGGAGACGATAATGTTCCCGTAAATGAACGCTGCGCAAGCTATACCTAGAATTCACAACAGTTCGTCTGCATGAAATGGCAACGTGATATAAGTGTTCAACGATTGGATCCGTTGCGATCCGTAGTCGCAAGCGTTCCATCAAAAATTCTCCGTTTTTTTTAGCAGCCGTACTAAGTTGAGCCGTTTATCTTGAAAGTGGCATAAGTCACTTTGCCGTAATGAAAAGTGATGATTTTTTAATGTTTATACGAAATTATTTATACTAAGAAAAATATCAGTATCCTGAGATAACAAATACAAGTAAATCTTCTCGAAAGTTAGCATCCATATTTTTAAACGTGTTCAAACGCAAACCATTAATAAATAAATATATCGACTTAAAAACAAAGTGACTTATGCCACTTTCAAAATAAACGGCTCAGTTATCAGGTTGCTGCGAAAATGCCGCGTGTCGCGAATATAATACGTTTATACTACTCGTAACTGTTCGCAATAAATGTTAATTCGATGCAATTAATTCGTTCAATTTGATATCGTTTTTGAACATTTTCGAAGCGGCGATTTAAACATTTTTGAGACGATCGGCATTTTATCTTCTACAGAGTGAAGAACGACGAATGACAAGGAAGGTTTTTCTTTTAGGCGTCCGCCTGCGATTGCTTTGGTTTTTGGATATGTTATAGAGGATCAAAAAGTAAGGGATACGTATTTTATTTATTTAGGCTCGCGTTTAGGAAAGAAATCACTCCTCGGAGTTGATTAGATTATTAGTCGAACGATTATTATCGAACTCGTTATACATTTGATTCGCGACATGTTTGGGTATAATTCAAAGAAATATCGAAACAACTGATTTCACGAGCGTTTAATTAGTCGTTCCATTGTCTAAGGGCTTTGGGGACATGCATGTGCTATAATGGTAATGGTAACGAAGTCTCATCCTCCCGTCGCAGCGTATTCCGCGGTCTCCGATTCGCAATGTGGTCGCAGTTCAACATGAAATTAACCTCTTAGGCACGACGCGCCAGTATAGTGGCTTTCGCGGATGTCATCTTTCAGAACGAGACGCCGCTATAGTGGCTTCCGCGGATGTCATCTCTCTGAACGACGCGCCACTATAGTGGCTTGCTCTAGTAGCTCACTCGCTCATCGTTTGAATCAAATAATCGTCTTCATATGCATTGTTTCACACTTCTTTTGTCTTCGCATCGATTTACAACAGTCTACAGGGTGTCCCAAAAATGTCTCGGAATCCGGAAATGGCGGGTTCCTTGGATCATTTGAAGCAACTTCTTCCTTTACAAAAATGTTCTCCGAGGCACCGTTAACGAGTTATTAATGAAAAACAGTGACCAATAAGAATCGAGTACGGCTGACGCGAGGCGGCCCAGCCAACCAGCGTGCGAAGCCCAGTTCCGCTCATTGGCTCGATCGCCTCGCGCCAGCCGAGCTCGCCTCTCATTGGTCACTGTTTTTCGTTGATAACTCGTTAACGGTGCCTCGAAGAAAATTTTTGTAAAGGAAAAAGTTGCTTCAAATGGTCCGAGGAACCCGCCACTTTCGGATTACAAGACATTTTTGGGACACCCTGTATATAGAGTATCAGACTCTGTGCAGTACACATCAGAATCTGCCGTCCAGGGAAATAGCCTCGCGCAGAATTCAGCCGTACCTAAGAGGTTAACGGCACGAAAAAAACATTGTTCAAGCAACGATTAAAATCACACAATTCTTACACACAAATACGTGGACGACACGCCTCGAACTGTATGCCTGTTTCAACAATATCCTGAGCTCGTCCGGATTTTTCAGCGTGCTGAAGTCGGATTGCAAACTTTCGAAAATAAATCTGATCTGAAGTCACATAGAAAGAAACCAAAATACGACTGTTACGATCACACGGGCACACCTGCCCAACAAATGTAAACACCATAACTTTTGGTGGGCGTAATGTAAAAAAGCGATTTGCGGCGTTCTTCGTCACTTACTGTCGGAAACGAATAGATAATGCCGACGTAGCGGCAAAAGAACAAGAGCAAAGGCAAACCAAACGTTAGTACCAACAGTATATTCCTGAACGTATAGTCGGCGGGAATTAGCGAGATCTGAAAAGAAGTTATCCGCTAAGCGTAGGGTTAAACGTAAACGCAAGCTTTTTTTTACGAGCACAGTAAATTCTTCGTAATTCGCAAAAGTGAACAATTCGGGGAGAGGAGATACGATTGTTTCGAGGCTTGCGTCGACAGCTACAAACTATATTATGTACTATATTATACTATATTATATACCCTATTATATGTATATTATAAAATATATATTATATATTATTATATTATTAAAAAATATTATAAAGTATATATTATGTATTATTATATTATAGAAAATATTATAAAGCATATATTATATATTATTATGTTATAAAAATATTATAAAGTATATATTATATATTATTATATTATAAAAAATATTATATATATATATATATATATATATATATATATATATATATATATGATTAATAAATAAATAATATTATAAAATATACATATATTATGTATATATACTGCATTATACTGTATTATATATATATCTAAACTCTAAAAACGAGTCACACGGCTCGAATAATCGTGTCGCCTCTCCCGAAATTGTCCACTTTAGTTTGCGATTCAGCCCGCGAATTAGGGAGAAATGAGTGTAACAAGAATTTTCGAAACGGGTGACGCTTGTTGAACGAACGTGGCGCGCGCGCTGCAGCCCGAAGACGAGATGAATTTTCGATTACCTGAATGGAGATGCAAATCAGCGGCATCATGGAGAACAATATCCTCCAAAGTTTCGTCGCGAACGAGTTCTCGAAGGGCCAAAGGCTCATCATACGGAGCAGGAAGCAATAGGTTTTGTACTCTTCCTCGATCGCGGCCATTTTCGCGATCGCTCCTCGACGAAGACTGAACGGGAGCGAGGCGAAATCGTCCGACAACGCCTCGGACACACAGTTTATTCATTCCATCTCGCAATTACATTGACTTTCCGACGAACCTGCAGATGCTCGGCGTAATAACGCTTATTAAACACTTCCGCTGGTACCTTCCCGATCGATTTAATTACGACGTATGCCTCGAACTGATTACCGGGAGTGGCTGGTTTACGGCGTTGCGCACGGTGTCGATCAATCGTCTATCTCGTTCGCCGCTGTTATGTTGCGAAGACCATGGAGATACGAGTGGGACAGCGTTCGGCAAAGTAATATTGTTGTGAGAAACGAGGCGCGAATCACGCGCGGATAGAAAGAGACGACGAAACGAGCGCATCGCGCGCATCGAGCGAAAAGGATCGGCGCCGACGAAACGCGAGTAAGTCGATTGTGTCGTGTGAATGTAAACATTTCAACGTTCCGTGCAATTTCTTATCTAAATCTGAAGGTTTCGCGCTCGATGGAAAACCTTTTTGCAGATCGTAATCATCTTTACGCGCGAATAAAGTATTGTATCCCGCGTGTTTCGCTCACCTTCTCGCAGTTTGCCAAATCAGACTTATTATCGTCATTATTTCTAATCGAATTCACTGTTGAACTTAATCGTCGAATGGCATTTTACAAACGATTATGGAAGATCGACGCGGATCAATCAATCTTGTAATGAGATTTTTATTAATGTATGTAGATGTATATATAATGTACACAGCTATGTAACTCGGTGTTATGTTTAAAGATTGAATAAACAGCGCGCGAATTTACGCCGATCGAGTGGAAATAAATGAGAAGAACGGAACAGCAGCTGTTACTTCAACCGACCATGATCACGCCGTTTTATTTCAAAGTGAACACGCTCTTGAAGCGTCGTAATTTAACTATACTTCGCTTGGCTGCCGATTCTTCCGGGTTACATGTTATTCTTCTTCTGTTGAAATACTTCAATCGGCCACGAACAATGGAGCCGCGGAAAGCGAAGTTCGGTAAGTGCGGCAACTATTTCTCGAATTTTGGAATTCTTTTCTCATTGTGTTCTCCGTTCGTACTGGAAACCGACGGTGCTCGGATAGCCAAAAATTTTCGGCGGTGTACACGGTGCTCGATTAAAAGAACAGTCGACAAATTTCACGGCTGTCATGGATCAGCGCGAAGCTGATCATCCGAAACTTGAGACTGTTAGTTGCCGGTTCGTTTGTCCGGTTTCACCATTTCCCAGCACCTTGTCATCGTCATCGATGCTTCCAGTTTCGATCATCTTCGACGGAGACGCGATCGCCCCGTCAACAAAATTTCGGCTGTGCAGAATTCTATTGTTTTTTTTTTCAATTCGACGTCCCCGATCGTGAATCGTCGTTGATAACGTGCTACCAAGACCGTGGTGTGTCTAAATGGTTCCTTTAGGCTGAATAAAGTACAGTAAAGTATGAAAAGGACGAGCTCATCATCTGAAATGAAAATCGTCTTCGGTCTTAAACCAATCGAATGAAAAACGATAATAAAAACGGCACTCGTAGGTGGTCCATTACCGTCGTGAAGCCTTCGTAACACGGATTAAATAAACCAGCAAGATTAAAGTGCACTTCGGGCGCGCTTCGCATCAGTACGAGTAGCAACATTTTCTGTGACTTCGGTGGCATACTGTACCACGAGGAGTTGTATCTGTTTCATTCGACAGCGCCGTTCTGTTATTTTCTCGTTACGCTTGTTCCGTCGTGGATAATATCGATAATTTAACATTGAACATCTAATCGATCGTATTTTTCATTTTTTCGTTTCTTTTTTTCACGTGAACCGTGTACCGAGACGATTCAAAATAGCGAACAGAGCTTTTCGAATTGCACGATTTTTTTTCTCGATCGATCGCAGTTCTTCGATCAAGCTTTACGATTTTTCGCATCGAGGACGAGGATAGCTTTTTTGTTTGTTTTTAGCGAGGGACAGAAATCTGGGCACTTACGTATGATAGAAAACATCGACGCTACTGTTGGCAAGCTGCTGGCCGCTGTAATTATTTAGAAATATGATTATCAGATGCGTTACGACTATCACGACGCACATAATGAAATCGTCTATACTCTTGATGTCGGACAGCATCACAGAAGCCTGTTGCAAAACCAAAAAATCATGTATCATCAAAAAAAAGAAAAATTGATCGGAGCTGATAATCGACGGTCTAATCGATACTCACCCGATACAAGTTCATAGCGAACGAAAGAACGACCACTATAATCGCTAATAAATACGATAACAGCACGCTGTTCCCTACAGATTTAGCGAGCCTTTTCATTCACGTTCCCCGTAAGTCCACGATCGCAACACGCGAGATATATTAATAACACACGTAATGAAAACAGTAATTCGATATACGATTAGATTATGCTTGCGCTAATGTCTACGTAAAGATACAAACTTATATGCTCTTTGGTGCATGTCCATGGCGGGGCCGATGGCTATAGGCTTCGCTGTAATAAACTTAGTCGCGTTGTCGACTGCCCCTTCTATTCGATAACTGGACGAACAGAAATTTTCGTATGTTGATCAATCCTCTCCGATTGTCTTTCGGCTTGTAAACGAAAATGGACGATTTTGCGAGGAGGAGATACGATTGTTCGATCCTTTAACCTTTTAGGTACGGCTGAATTCTGCGCAAGGCTATTTCCCTGGACGGCAGAGTTTGATATGTACTGTACAGAGTGTCTGTATATTGTTAAGATACGGATATATTGTTAACAGTTATATTGTAAATCGATGTGACGACAAAAGAAGTGTGAAACAATGCATATTAAGACGATTATTTAACACGTTGAATGCCACGCCGGTTTTACGAAAATTGTCCGTGGCGCCACGATGAATTTTCTTTTATGTGATACATATAATGTTGAAATATATAATATATAATATAATAATATATAATATATAATATATAATATAATAATATATAATATATAATATATAATATATAATATATAATATATAATATATAATATATAATATATAATATATAATATATAATATATAATATATAATATAATAATATATAATAATATATTATAATAATATATAATATATAACCATGTTTGACATGTTAATTGCGACAGGGGTCACTGTTCGAATTGACGATGGTAATAATACCAAATTTTAGATGTTGACATTTGTTTGAAATTATATATATTTCTATCAATTTTGGGCGCGCCGGTCACCGGTGGCCCCCATGGCGTCACCACCAAGTTAAGTGCCGGTCACCGGTGACCCCCGTGGCATTCAACGTGTTAATTCAAACGATGACCGAGCGAGCTATTGGAGTAAGCCACTACAGTGGTACGTCGTCCAGAGAGATGACATCCGCGAAAGCCACTATAGTGACGCGTCGTTCGGAGAGATGACATCCGCGGAAGCCACTATAGTGACGCGTCGTGCCTAAAAGGTTAACTAGAAGAATGAGCCGCGAGGCTCGATTAATCGCATCTCCTCTTCCCTAAGTGTCCATTTTTGCGTACAATCTTAGCGTCAATTAGGCAGAATTTATTGTATGTAGCTTCTTTCGGTTCGGAGCAGCTCTGCCTGTTGCTTTATACAAGTGTGTTTGTGTGTGTGTGTGTGTGTGTGTGTAAGCATTTAGGCGATCACCGGGTACGGGAAACGTGTAATCGTAAAAAAGAAAGAAACTTATGGGACAGCCTAATTTATTCCACGGTAAAAAGGATTCGATCGGATACAGTTGCTTCGTATTAGTTTTACTCGTGAAACTTGTATAATGCTGTCTCGTATTATTCGCTACAAAAACGCAAAAACCGTGAAAACATTACACATTAGCGGAACAATTAATGGAAGAGTAGCATATATGTGGACGGTGTTACAAGAATTAGTTTTTTTCCAGTAGCACAGATATACGTGGCTCAAATCAAAATAGACAGTTGCAATATATCGTTTACCGCGTGGGAATTGTAATAAATACCGCTTTGGACGTACCTAACGATTTTAAACAATCCGCACAAGTACAATGCAAAAACTGCGAGCGACCCTTCCGTACATGCGATAATGAATAAACCAAATACGGCGGTCGTTGTGATATGTATGCTAGCCCAGTCAGCTTGTTTGCTGTGCTCAAAGTAAAAGAATCCCAAGAATTGTAGAAAGTGAAGTTGGCATTTCAAATGAAAAATTGTAGGGGTCACTAATTTCAGGCTTAAAGCGCAGATTGTTAAGATTGCCAAACCTGGAATGCGAAATCGTGTTTTTTATTCGATGATATTTAGAAGGATTGTTATCAAAGAATGAACTCGTTTAAGTCGCTATTACCGAAGCTATCACGCGTGGCAATTTATTTTACTTTTAGACGGGCACTAATGTCGACTTTAAATGTCTTAATGTACAGTGACGGCCGTATACTTAAGAACGCTTGGATAAACGGTATGTGACTCTTTTAAAACTGAACTAGATAACTTGGATTTTTTGTTTAACTAATATTGTCATCTTAAAAAAATTCTAGAGATTTAGTCTATTTTTTTAAAAAGGTTACGCCGTGTTTTTTGTCTACTATCCATAAATATATGGTCGCCACTGTACACAAATGATTAGCAAATTAGTCAGAGGATCTAGAAAGTCTTCGATTATTTCAATTATTTCATTTTTCGGTGGCGTCATAAATAGAAATAAAAGTTTCAAATTTCTTGATAGAAATAATAATAATCTAAATAATAATAATAATAATAATAAACTATATATATTTTTCATGCGTGGTGCTATAGCAGAATATTCTTACCAATAAAAAGTTGAATTACGAGCTTCGTTCTTTCTATATATTTCGTTAACATCTTCACCTCGATCGGATTCTGGATCGTGGCGCAATCATTTTCTATGTTTTCTATGAAAGATTTCACCTGTAGTTACATTGTGACAGTTAGACTCGCGATTCGCAAGCTATAACAATCGATTAATTAATTTTTCCATTCAGTGAAAAGCAACGCGACAGCCGTTTGAGGTTATGTACTTACTAATGGAAAATTGATGATAAAACCAAGGTATCGTAAAAAGAATAATAACATCGGACAGGAAAATGATAAAAACGTAATTAAATTCTGTACCGTAATTTCAACATATTGTAATCTGTTCGCCTAGAAAATGTAATATTTCATTTTAAAGCGATTTCTGGTTTATATCGGACTGGGGAGAAAAAAAAGGCTCAGATAAATTTAATTCGGTGAATAAAATTGAACAGCAAATCGAATGACACGTGCGATTGGCGTTGAGCATTTCGCGAGAGTTGATGCAGTACGATTTGGGAAAGTGTTGCACGCGAATAAACGGTGTTCGGGTCACAATAAGCAGTTTCGAATGACCAAAGCTCGTTGCGAATGCTAGCGAGAGAACGAGAAAGAGGAAACGAGAAGGAGAAAACGAGAAAGAGAGAGGATGAGAGCGAGAATAGGTAAGAGTGAGCGAGAGTGAGAGAAAGATAGAGATAGAGAGATAGAGAGATAGATAGATAGATAGATAGATAGATAGATAGATAGATAGAGAGATAGAGAGATAGATAGATAGATAGAGAGAGAGAGAGAGAGAGAGAGAGAGAATAGGTAAGAGTGAGCGAGAGTGAGAGAAAGATAGAGATAGAGAGATAGAGAGATAGATAGATAGATAGATAGATAGATAGATAGAGAGAGAGAGAGAGAGAGAGAGAGAGAGAGAGAGATGGCAAAATAAGGAAAGTAATGATAGGAAAGAAATACAGTGTGTCCCAAAATAATTGTGCAAGAGGGAAACAAGGGATTCCTGAGGTCATTCGTAGCAACTTTCTCCTTAGCGAAAATGCAGTCAGCGGCTTCGTTTACGAGTTATTAACGAAAAACTGTGACCAATGAGAGGCGAGCACTGCTGACGCTCCGCCCTCGCGACTACCGCCGCTGCGTCAGACGGCTAGCGCGACGTGGCATTGGCCGCAAGGCCAATCGCAAAGGCGCTGGTCGCGCTCGCCTCTCATTGGTCACTGTTTTCGTTGATAACTCGTTAACGATGCCTCGGAGAAAATTTTTGTAAAGGAAAAAGTTATTTCAAATGTTCTCACGAACCCCTCGACTCCCGTTTGTATAATAATTTGGGACACCCTGTAGCTCGTAGAGTGAAGCACACGGATGATAAAGACGAAAGCGTCGACGTGAAACATTGCAGCGAGTCGCGGCATGTCATTAGCTAGATGAAAGCAGATGAAAATCAACTGCCGTTTCTGTCAGCGATTAAATAAACCGTTTTTGTTTCAAACGAAACTTGAGGAAAATTCTTACCACGACAACACGTGGAATTTTCTCGAGGGTAACCCCCGCATTGGTTGTCGCTTCGCATAGAACAATATCTCGAATGACACGTGTGCACATATCCATATATAATACTACAGACTAGCATGTGATATAACGAATGAAATTACAAAACAAAAGTATCTAGCATTAAACGTGAAACAATATGCGAGACATGCGACAACTGTCCTTAATTAATAAAAATCATAGCGAAACTATGTGTACGCATTCGGGCGCGCAGATATATAATTGTGGAGAACATTTTGAATGAAATTACGTAGAAATACAATTCTGCGAGACGCTGGAAAATTGAATCACCTGAATCACTATACAGGACACTGGAATTAACGAAAAACAGATTCTGTGAAGCTTCGATAAGACAGATTCATCGAAAGGCCAGAGCCCCGTGAAGCGTAAGATGCAATAGTAGGTGGTATAGTTCTTTCGAAACACGTCCATTTCACGCGGTGGCGACGAATGACTGCATAGAGAATTTGCCGTGTCGTCCAACTACAGCTCGGCACCATATTTTATTCAAACTATGCTATTTCCGTTGTGTAATGAATTGAAATTTGTTCAATTTATTCGTATCCGCTCGGAATCGATTTATGTCATCGGCAGACTGGGGCAATGGTAATCAAATATTAATCGATTCATAGCGGAAACAAAAACGAGCCGAGTTATTTCAACCATTACTTTTAGTTTCAACCTTTTTATCTAGAGAATAAATGCATTCTTCAACGGCTATTCGTAGTATCGATGTGAACAGCAACTAGATAGTCTTGATAACTTTTATCTCATTATTTCGTTCGTAATTGTGAATGTGATCTACGTACACAGTGGTCTGGAAAAGCGAGCAGACACCTCCTTGACTGCAATAACTTTTTGCAAATTTAAACAAATGACTTGAATTTGCTGAGATATCAGAGGAGCTACTGACAATGTCTAAGAAAATTTTTTACACGAACCGAAATTTCTTCTTGGTTAATTAAAGCTCTTGAAAGTAGCAGCTCTTTAGCGATTACGATCAAAAACTGGATGGAGATCTTCACGTTTTTTAGTGGCCGTACCTTGTCTCTGAGTCAACCGATTTCGCCACTTCCAGCATGCGTACACGTATGTAAAGTTGTCGATACTTATGAAACGCAGTGTTTAAATTATCGTTATAAGCTCACATGAAAAAGTTGATGAACGTGTACTTTTGATATCTTTTTGTCATTTCAAACAATCACGATCTTCGCACAAATTTATCTGGGCATCATCTACTAAACTGGTACTAACATATCCAGAAAGATCAAGTGCAATTTAAAAAGTTCATTCGACTACAGAAGATCTGAACTCACTTTTGCACATCGCTGTAAAAATGTAGAATTGTCAAGGTACATAAACTAATACCATACACAGGTTGCTTTATATATTTTTCTAACCATAATAATGCAGCGATCTACTGACTGAGAAATCCTCGATGCATGGTCAAATAAAGATATAACAGAACAAAGCGGTAGATAAACTTAAAGTTAACCCTTTGCACTCGAGTGGCGCCGCTGAGGTACAAAGATTTGATAACAATGTTTCCAAGACATCGCTCGTTGTGCCTTAATGTAAACTGTGTTCGAAGATCTAGCAACGATTTTCACGTCAACTGCAATTGCGCTGGTCAATAAGTGAATCGAGTAAGTAACGTCACATAAAATTTTCGATACGGTCTCTGGTTCCTACATCGACGATGCGAGCACTAACGGTAATGCGCGGGTTTGTACGTCTCATTCCGGCGTTGTAAGGCCCGGGTTGAACCAACTGGGGACGCGCGTAGACTCGCGTGTCGCTGATACATCGCCCGCCAAATTAATCGTAGGCGATCGGATCCGTTTGGTGTGATGGTGATTGCGTGCACAACTATTTCGTGAAAAGAGACGGTCGACTCGACCGTTCGTTCCGAGTGTAAACACGAGAGTTCGCGACGAAGTTGTGCGAATGCCTTCTGCTTGGTAGCGATCGCGAGAAGATTGAAGCGTCTTCCGAAGCTCGAGCAGTCCCGTTTTTGAGAGTCCGAACGACGGCTTCCGTTGCCGTGAAGTGGAATCGCGTCGATTGGTCCTTGCTGAAAAGATGCGATTTCCCAATCAGCGCGACCTTCAAATATCGTCGGCGCATCTAACGACAGCAACTCACCACAGCTTTATCAGCAGCGCAAGATATCGTTCCTTTGCCACGAAATAGCGAACTTCGAATCGCAAGACTACGCAGATCCTTTCGCTCATCCGAAAGACGTACGAATATTACGATTTTAAGAACTACCGCTAGGATTTACCTTTGCGAACGATGCGGTCATTCTATTGAAGCACGTGGAATATATAAATGTACGATGGCGTGATAACTACTACGAGCACCATTGCTTCCAAATGTTCTACTAGACCGAATAGAGAACAGTGAAATATGAGAAAGATGAACTCATCATCTGAAAAAGAAAAGAAACGGCTTGAGTGTGGCTTGTCGAAGGTGTCGACTCTTGATACGATAGATAATTTTTATTTAGATTTACCCTCGCAAAGCCTTCGTAACACGGCACAAATAAACCTCCGATATTAAACTGTACTTCGATCGAACTTCTCAGCAATATGAGCAGCACTAATTTCTGCGATTCGAGTGGCACTCTATACCACAACGAATTGTATCTATTTCATTCAACAACTTAACTGTATTATTCCCTTATGACATATACTTCTATATAACAAACAGATTATTGCATAATTTCCAATAATTCCACGCTCAACTCTAACTTAACCGATGCAATTGATTTCAAATAACGATTAATTCTCTGACTGACGATCGAAATATTTCTTTTTTCGGGGGTGCAAAGGAATAGTGTCTTCGACTTACGTTTCATTAAACACTACGACACTGTTATCCGTCAGTATCTGCCCCGTATAATTATCTATAAATATGATTAACACGTGCCCTGTTACCATTGTGGTAGAAATAAGAATCTCGACAAGCAAACTCGTCTCCGTGATCGATAAAAAGGCCTGTTACACATCAATAATTGCCTCGTTTTATTTTGTGCAATGTAATATATTGCAATATAATAATGCAACAATAACATTGCTATAATAATCCTATAATAATATTACAATGACAAGGCAATAATAATATTGCAATAATAATGCACTAGTAATAATATATATTAATATAACAATGAAATATAAAATTTACTTATCTCTTTTCTGTAATTCTGCTAGTACTTACGCGATATAAATCTACTGCGAACGACAAGACAGCTGTAAGAAGTGCCGCTAAAGAAGAAATCATCATATCGGTTCCTACAGATTCGGCGCGTCTTTCGTTGCGAATATCAAGTGTTGAATCATTCGAATGATCGGAGAGCGCAAAACGAAAAACATGCAAAATAAGAGGATAATAGATTATTCGATAAATAAATCGTTTGCAATATAATATGAAAGTACCAGAAATGAAAGTACCAACTTAATGGCTCTTTGGTGCATCGTCACAGCAGGGCGGATGTCCACGAAGGACGATGTAATTAACGTAGCTGCATCGTCGACTGATTTTCGTATTCGATAACTAGACGGGAACATAGTTGATACGTCATTTTACATGTTGAAATGACCGAATTCGAAAATAGAATTTTTGTTTCTACCAACGCGAACCGATTTTCGAAATTCGCGAATATATTTCGTTCCTTTCTGCATTATGTTATTCCCAACTATAGATTACACGTACGAGGTTACACAATAATCGATAAACAGTTAACAAATAAGATTGAAAAAAGAATATCCTCGAGTTCGTGAGCAAAAACCATTCTTTCCACATTCTACATACGGATCACTGTTGATACGGCGAAATACGTGCGAAATATTTTCCAACAAACTATATTACACTAAAATATCATTAAAATCGACGTGATACACTTGGAAACGATTCCTTGTTGGTCAAGTACCGAATGCAATATTAGCGGACGCGTAGCCTAAATAAAATACGAGGAAGCTGATTTCCGTCGATGCGAAAGACGTGTGAGCCTATATGTATAAACGACATGACAACAAATATCAATTGTTACGGTTGACACTGCAGTAAGCGTACCTGACAATTTGAAATAGTGCTGATAAATAGAAGCC